TCGAAGGAAGAAGCCCGCCCCCCTTGTTGCAGAGCACCCCCCCCCCCCCCCTCTTCTCGTTGTCCATAACGGGAGCAGCGGTCGCTCATGTCCGATGAGGAGAAGGATCTCATCGACCTCGAGGTCACCTCCTTCATGACCGCGTGCGCAGCGGGAGTCGACGCCCTAAAGGCGTTACTCCAGCGGGAGCGTCTCCGGAGGATGGAGCAGGAGGCGGCGGCGGCTCGGGCGGAGGGGGCCGACGGACGGGGCTCGTCGTTGCTGGACGAGGGGGGGGTAGGGGCCGGGGGAGAGCTGCGGCCGGGGTCAAGACCGGCCCACGAGAACGCCGCGGTGACGTTTCTGTTCGAGCGGCTCAAGGCCGTCACCGAGGTCGCTGAGGCGATGCAGGTCTGTGCTTTATTTATTTCGCGAGGAGTGTGGGATGGGATGTAGAGCATGCGGCAGGGCACGTGCGCGTGCGTGTATTTTGTGTGCGATTGTCTCCCATGTGTTGTAGATGCTGTGGTGTTTTTCATCCGGGACTGACTTACGTTTGAGTCTAGCAACTCTTGGAAGAGAAGCCCAAGAAATTACGTGTACATATATATTTTTCCTACATAGGCAGTGACAACTCCTACATAGGCAGTGACAGCAAGTGTGCCTTGTACTTGTACGCTTGCCCAGCAGTACGCCCGGAATTCCCTATTAGCGAGTGACAAGCGCCAATGCTCACCGACCGCGCCGCCCACTTCCCATCCGTCTGGGTTGGTCATTTTTCCTGACTCAACTCACCTTTCCTTTCCGTCATAACGCCCCTACCCCGCTGCCATATCCAAGCAACACATTCCGATCTAACTCTGACCACTACATTCCATATCTAATCAATGCATTCCGTATCTAACCAATACATTCCATATCTAATCAATGCATTCCGTATCTAACCAATACATTGCATATCTAATCAATGCATTCCGTATCTAACCAATACATTCCGATCTAACTCTAACCAATACATTCCATATCTAATCAATGCATTCCGTATCTAACCGATACATGCCGATCTAACTCTAACCAATACATTCCATATCTAATCAATGCATTCCGTATCTAACCGATACATTCCGTATCTAACCAATGCGTCGATCGGCAAGAATAGACCGAGAGACACGCGAGGGCCGCAGCGGGCCAATCGCGCTTCTACGGGGGTCCGGCGGACAGCAGCGGCGCATCGGGGGGGGCTGGCGACGAAGCGAGCCGCCACGGGGGCCCCCTAGCTGCTGCTTCTGCTGTCTGGGGAGCTACCCCGGAAGAGCTGGAGGAAGAACGCCTACTCCGAGAATCGCTGCCGGCGGCGTACGGGGACTCCTCTCCTTCCCCCCCCGCACTTACCCCTGCCGCAGAAGACCTCGCCGGTGGCCTTGCAGGGTTTGCCACCACCGCCGCAGGCGTTCCGGAACGCTCCCAGACTCCGCCGTTAGCGGCGGACGCGGCGGACGCCGCAGCGGTAGCCGAAACAGCCACCGCTGGAGCCGCGAAGCAGCGTCCGGCGGCCGCGGAAGCGAGGCGAAGAGCGGGGGGGAAGCGGCCAGGCGGCGGAGGAGTGCTAGCGGAGACGGCGAGCGCCGTGCGGAGAAGATGGACCGGGCAGGAGGAGGAGGAGAGGGGGGGGGGGGGGAGGGGTTCCGCCGATGGCGGCGTGGTTTCCGCGGCCGTCCTGGAGGGGGAGAACCGAGATCTGGTGGCGAGGCTGAAGAACGAGTTGGACGATGCCAGGCTAGTCGAGACCAAGATGTCGGAGGTGAGAGGAGAGGAGAGGCGATGCTGCTGTGTGTCGGTGGCTGCGTTGTGTTTGGGAGCTGTCGCTTTGCGAACGGCGTAGTGGTCGCTCTTGGTCTGTCTGTATGTCGGTCGCTCTCTGTCGCTCTCTCTCTCTCGCTTCCTCTGTGTGCGTGTCCTCTCTGTCTCTATCCCTGTCTCTGTCTGTGATCCCTCTCCCCCCCTCTGCCTCCCCCCCTCCCTCCCTGTTTCCCTCACTCTCTCTCTCTCTCTCTCTCTGTCTGTCTCTGTCTCTGCGACTCCCGCTTCATCTGCGTGCGGTCACAGCAAGGTGCCCTTCGATGCCCTTACTCGCCGAAAACTACGACAAAAACACTATTTAGCTGTGCAACCTTACCCAACAAAAGAAACCCGGAACTCTCTGTGCCTGATTTTTTTCAGATCTCCGGTCTCATGGGACTCTTCGCCAGCAAAGTCGTGGAGCAGCAGGGGGGAATGGAGCACGTCTTTGACGCCGCCGTTTCGGCGAACGATAAGCTGGTGAGAGGGGGCCAGCACCTGGAGAAGGCGGTGCAACGGGGGGGGGGGTTCCGGCTGTTCTACGCGTGGTTCATGATGATCGCCTCCTTCTGCCTGCTGTTCCTGCACTTTTTCAACCCCTGAGAGGAGGAGAGGGGGGGGGGGGGGGGGGGAAAAAAAATGGCCACCCGTGTGATCGAAAAG